TAAGAATTACATAATAAAAAGCCCTTTTTTTTAAATAACTTTTCATTGTATATCTCCTCTTTCCCTCGGGGGAACTAAAAAGATAAATCCACTACTCATCTGAAGGAGAACGTGACACGTCTCAAGGAAATTAGTTTCAGTTGTCAAACAAATATTTTAATAATCTCATTTCGTGCGTAAAAGATAAATGTTCATTTCTATTTTATAACTGTATAACTTATAAAATTTATCTATTATTTAACTTATTTTTTAAAATATTAACTTGGTATTCGTATATCATAGAGTAATTGTTAATCTGTTGTCTCCAATTATTACACTTTGGCGGTTTAAATACAAGTAGACACCCCCTATAACACTGTTGATAATTTCGTTTTATATGAATTCCATGTTGTACGAGTCACTTAGATTTTACAATCACGTGAACCGTTCATAGCCCTGCACACGGTATTTGTAAAATTTAAGTGACTCGTACAACATGAAATTCATATAAAACGGAATAATCAGCAGTGTTGTAGAGGGGGTCTACTGTATATAATAAAATTTCTCTACTGTTTATTTATTTTTTCTTAACTTTTCATCAAACAATAACATCAAATCCTATAGTACAGTACGTAAGAACATATTGATGTATGATACTAAATGACAAGGAGCATTTTTCTTTAGCAGGAAAGGTTCATTGCATTAAAACCATTATAAAAGTTAATTATATTTAAAAATAACATTATTGAACATATTAAAAGACAAGATATACATATAATAAGATTAATAAAGGCAAATTTGAAATTTTTAACAAAGCATTAAGGACGAAGATTATAAATTTATGCTATTTTTTACAAGTGTTTAATCGAAATAATTTCATTTAATATCAATATCTATAACGAAATTTCATATAATAAAAACGGATTTTGTTATTTTCATATAATAAAAACGGATTTTGTTATTTTCATATAATAAAAATGCTGATAATTTATATTAACCCGATAACATCTCGATATCTAATAAGCTGTGTGTTATTTTATAATTATTTTCATACACGTGAACATACACACATACACGCACACATAGATGCTTATCGTAATGATTTTTTTTTTCTTAATTCTAAATATTTTTATGCTTTTTTAACGCCCTACTTCCAAATTGTTCCAGTTCAAATATTTCTGTACCGTGAGGAGCATAAGATATTAATTATAAGTGATAAGTAATTTCGTGTGATATTTTGAATCAGTTACAAACAGGAAACCGTGAAATAATATTTAATTTCTTTTTCTAAATTACTAAAAATATATTCAGATGGGTTTAAATACAATTATATTTAAAATCGATCTTTATTTTCTTAGCATTACATTTACTTTAACACAGTTATACAGTCAACCCCCCCTATAACACTGTTGATAATTCCGTTTTATATGAATTCCATGTTGTACGAGTCACTTAGATTTTACAAATACGTGAGCCATTCACAGCCCGGCACATGTATTTGTAAAATCTAAGTGACTCGTACAACATGGAATTCATATAAAACGAAATTATCAACAGTGTTATAGGAGGGTCGACTGGTACTATTAATACTTTATAAAAATATGTCTTAGTATTTACATTAGTATCGCTGATAACCTACTAGGTTAATGAATGGAAACAAAAACAATACTTAAAATGATTTATTACTAGACAGATTAATATTTCAAACAATTTAAAGGTACAAAGTATCCATTGAAAATCATTATAACAGTTTATGTAATTATTTTTTTTAACTGTATAACTCGTCTTAAGGCTAAATAAGACTAAATATTATATAATTTAACCTACATTTTTATAAATTACAGTTACACCCATTATACTAATAAGTTTTTT